CTGAACCCTTCCCTATATATATATATATATATATATATATATATATATATATATATATATATATATATATATATATATATATATATATATATATATATATAAGCTAACATAAAATATATATTTTTAAATAATTAGAATTAAAATGACAAAATTTATAAATATCCAAGGTTATCTTACATAACCTAAGAAAGGGAAGGGAATCACATTCCCTTCAAAATCCTATGTGGAAGGAAAGTTCCATTCCTTGGAAATGTTGGGCTCGTTACTAATAGAAAATTATTCTCTGTTTTCTGAAATCGAAAACTTGTTTACCCGTACTTATTTTCGAAATTCATTTTCCACTTACTAAATTAAATACATACTATATAGGTTACTAAATTAAATACATAGTATATAGGTTTTAAATAATACTTCAACATTATGTGGAACTAAATTTAATTTAACAAAATTAGAGGTGGAGATGGCGTGGAGACGGCGTTGAAGCATTTTTGGCAGAGATTATTGGTGGCAGCCTGGCAGGGTTGCCGGTAACGTCGCAGTTGTTGACGCACAACGCAATAGTATCGCGGACGACCTTGAACTCCGTATCTTCTTTCTCTGTCTTCTGAGCCATTTTCGCAACAATAAATTATCAGAGTATAGCAGATTTGGAGATTCAAGCTTGGGTGAACCTCCAGAGTGCAAAATCAGAAACTCAAGGAGACCGGCGGCGAGGCAGCAACAGCGTTCAGACTAGCAGAGCAAGGAGACCGCCAACGAGGCAGCACCGGCGTTCGAACTAGCAGAAGAAGGAGACCGTCTTCCGCGGAAATCCTTGACCGAATCACTGTCCTTCTTTCGCAATTGTTGCTGTCTTCTCTGTGGATTAAGTCGTTCACCTCGCACTGGCAGGTTCTCTGGTCGAAGCTCGGTAGTATAAATTCACTTCTCAGGTGCCAGAGCGGAGATCCTTCTTTTACCCCGTCGAGCTTCTAATGCAGTCCTGAAGAAAGAAGAAAAAAATGTGACTGGCAAGATTCGATGGTACCTATGGTACTATTCATGCGTGTGTTTTCAATTTTGAAAACAAGTTTGGATTGTGTTTCTAATTTCTTGCAAAAAGTCAACTATGGCATCCCAGGCTCCCAGCTATGGTCACGGCCAGGATGGCGATCGTTACCTGCAAGGTAGGGCAAATTATGCTGTGCATCCGTATGCACCATGCATGGTGCATACGGATGCAAAAACGACGTCGTTTTATTAAAAACGCGTGTCTCCCCTTAAAAAAAAAAAAAATTCAAGTTCGATTCCCAGAAACAACATATGAACTAAAATTCCAGAATCGATGAACTATAATTCCATAATCTAATCTATGAACTAAAAATTTCAGAATGAATGAACTAAAATTCTAGAATCTAGGAACTAAAATTTCAGAACCGATGAACTACAATTCCAGAATCGATGAACTATAATTCCAGAATCAATGAACTATAATTCCATAATCTATGAACTAAAATTCCATAATGAATGAACAACATAATGCTGTTGCTAGGAATCGAACTTGAATTTTTTTTTAAGAGGAGACGAGCGTTTTTAATAAAACGACGTCGTTTTTGCATCAGTATGCCACGGATGCAAGGCATAACTATCCGCAAGGTAGCCTCACGAATCCTTGACGTCACACTGTTGGTCACGGTCGTGACCCATAACATGAATCAAATGATCCGCAATCTAGATCAGTTGGTCCCACTGCTCCTCCTAGTCGGGAAGACCATCGGAAGGTCGAGATCCAGTTTGCGAACTCTTGGTCTCCCCTTGATGCTCACGGCCTGAAGCATTAGCGGTGTAATTTCATACTCAGTGAACACAACTTGTGAAAAGGAAGATTAACTGATACATGCACACAGGATTGAGGGACTGAGGTCCTTATGCTAAATATTTATACCACGCAGCAGATGAGCAATAAATAAAATAAAAAAATAGGATGACACCAATACTTAACGTGGTTGAATCCACATGGCACCAACCCAAATCAAGATCAATTCACTAAGCATGTTTAAGTATAATGACACAGAAATTTACACAATACGATCACCTCCTTGACTTCTATTGACACTGTTCAAGAGAACCGTTAGAAATTGGTGAACATGACTCCCTTGTGCCATATGGTCCCTTCTGTCTTGATAACAACGCAACTCCCATTGCTTCAGACTCCCATCTGATCAATACCTGTAAATCAAAATCTCAAGGAAAGACTTGTAGTCCCATTGATGAAGCACATCCCTTAGGTGATCTTTTTGCACCAGTACCAGATGTTTTCTGTATGCTCCACCTCTCTTCAGCGGCCATCACCCATGCATATATATAGCACTAAAAACCCTAATACATAAAATCTACCAGTTTCCATATGGACAACGTGATTACCATAAATAAACAAAACTAGGAAATGTTTCCAACCAGACATACAAAAGAGCATAGTTTTGTGAGAACAAGGAAACAAGAATATTTTGACAATAAATACTATCAATACACAAAAACTAACAAGCGGGAGCCCAGGGATCCGCAAGCTCATCTTGCAAGTCATGGTCATAGTCCCGGTCCATTAGAAAGTGACTTTCATCACAATCACCTTACAATATAATTCATGCAAAATGAGAATAAATGATGTGCACAAATAAGCCAAATTATGGCTTTTCAGTTTACACATTGCCTCCAAATCATCTAAATGGCACAACAAAATCAAATAAGTATACATTTAACTTCAAATTAGCAGAAAACTATGAGAATTGAATGTCAAATATACACATAAAAATATAAAGAATTGGTACTTATCAATGGTGGAAGTCTCAGTTTCTTGGTGGTCAGAGATTGGGGAAGGAAGATAGGGTGACAAAGATAGTTCTAAACAAAGCAGCAGACTACTTGGCAGAGAAGCATGAGACGCTATTCATCAAAGCATTGCGTTCATATTATGCGCTAGAAAGTTGGTGCAAGTGAAATTATGAAAGAATTTGAAACAAACAGAGTGAGATAAAAGTTTATTATTGATGGATTTAATTAACCCGGGGTGGACCCGAATCAATAAATCCGCATAAGAACGTAATATAATAAGTAATAAACGAATAATATAGAACGATATCGTAAAGGCCGCGGTGGACCGTATATTATATTAATTGCTGTAGTATTTGGCTATTACAAAGATTCGGTAGGACAAAAGTGTGTAATAATCGTATAATGTGGAATGAATTGCCCTTTGTTAGGACAAGGAGGGGGTTTTTATACAAGCAAACCCCCCAACCGCCTCCCCCTAAATCGGGGGTGGTTAGATCTCAGCTTTGACCGGGCCCGGGTGGACCGGGTCGGGTCGGGTCCCGAGCTCGGGTAGGACCGAGCTCCACGTAGGTCGGCTCGGGTCGGGGCACCTCCATGGTGCTCCGGATCCGCGTTGCGACCTCCGTGGTCCCCCGGGTCCGTGTTGCTCTTGGGCACCTCCGTGGTCCCCCGGGTCCGTGTTGCTCTTGGGCACCTCCGTGGTCCCTCGGGTCCGTGCTGCTCTTGGGCACTTCCGTGGTCCCCCAGGTCCGTGTTGCTCTTAGGCACCTCCGTGGTCCCCCGGGTCCGTGTTGCTCTTGGGCACCTCTGTGGTCCCCCGGGTCCGTGTTGCTCTTAGGCACCTCCGTGGTCCCCCGGGTCCGTGTTGCTCTTAGGCACCTCCGTGGTCCCCCGGGTCCGTGTTGCTCTCGGGCTCCACCAAGGTGCTCCGGGTCCATGTTGCTACCCCAGGTCGGGTCGTGGGTATAATATATCCATCAATTATGATGACAATGGTCTTTCTTGTGGTGCCTGTAATTGTTGTAGCATTCACACTAGAGGTGAATGCCAAGTTATTTCTACAGTAAATATCTCATTCATAGGTTAATAGCTTATGTGGTTGTGAGTTATTTCAAAAACAATCCCACTGCAAACAACCAAATAATGTCAGAAAACTGATGGGTCCATAATAATTAAAATAGATAAAAGAAATAACTAAAATATAGTGGGTTAAATGATAGGTCAACAAAAAACTGAGAAAAAACTTAAAACTGATGTGGAGAAGAATTTTTTGCGATTGAGTGAGATAATGGAGGATAAGGTGGATGCTGGGGCCCACAAATAACTCATAAAAAAATCCCAACAGATAAGATTAACTATGTTCCTAGTTTATGTTGAGAAATTAGGTATGGTTGATGCCTTTTACTGGGTTTGCTCTACAATCTCACCCCTTTAGATGGAGGCAAGAAGTTCACAATCGCCCTAAAAGGGTGGCCAAATGTGTAAAATATAATTTATGTACTAGAAGGTCACAAGTTTGAACTCGTTGCATAGGATCTTCCTAATGCGGTTTACCTCTTACCCTCGAATAGTGATTGACGGTTTCATCGTCACCCCAAAAAGAACTTCACAAGCAAGAGAGGATGCATTTTTAGCTATATTTTGGATATTGCTTGGTACTATCTGTGTTGCTCAATTCTTCCTTTATATTGCTGAATATAACACTGAAAGCAGGTAGATGGAATTGGTGAAGTGGGTTCTGTCTAGAAGAATGACCATTGGGTATCTTCTTTTTTTTTTTTTTTTTTTTTTTTTTTTTTTTTTTTTTTTTTAAAGAAATTCTTTTCAATTGTTTCTAGTTTTAGTATGTTAGCCCAAGTATATTGTAGTTGCCTGGTACTTAGGAAGTTTAAAATTAACCAGGGTATTTTCTACTGTATTGATTGAATGTTTGAGAATTGCAATGCCTGCTGAATTTTTCTTCCAATTTGATAATTTTGTTTACAGAGTTGTTGACTTTTCTAAATTCAATAGATTCTACAAAGTTTACTTGTTTCATTATGAATATAATGTGAGAATTCTTGATTATATATGTATGCATGCCTCCAATTTGCATTCATATATAGCCTGGTTATTTTGGCAACCATATATGGCATGTTCTTGTTAATCATCAGAATTCTGGCATAGATGTGTCTTTTTAAGTTTAGATAGAACAACATACCATAATTACTATTAAACCAGTATTCTAACATAATATGTCATCAAGCACAAGTGCAATACATACAAAAAGAGAAAATAGCAGTGGTAGGGATTACCCCAGCCAAGATGTTTAAAGATATATACAAACTTGTAACTATAAAGTCACGAGTTTGAATCTCAGCTTTCTTGGTTTGAGCCAGTCAATAACAACTTAAACTGGTTTACCTCCTTGTGATCCTTTGCCGGCTAGAATTACAAGGTGGAGTTTATCCAGTTCACACTCTCTCTGATAGTGGTTGCAGGTTTCCCTCGTAATAGCACTTATATTCATCCTCATTTCAACATGTGCAGGCCCATTTATCTAATCAGCAACCTCCTCTCAAGAAATGGAGTTTGTAATTGAGGACCAATTTGAGCTTGTATTCTCCCCGAAGGAAGAAAGGGGCACTACAAAATCATCAAAACCTCCATTCTCACCACCTGATAGCCCTGCCGTGGAAAGACTTAATGATGATAATTCTGGTGGTGCCATAGAGCCTTCTAAGTACATAACAATTTGTCGCATGCTTGGCCTGGACTTTGGCTCCAGAAGAGAACACAATAGCCCAAGCTTTAAAACCAACTCTACTTCTTCTGCAACATAATTCGGGCCTAGTCTAGGATCAATCACTTGCAAAATTTCACCTCTACTCCACCAAGAAAATACCCATTCTACCAAAACAAGATCCTCGTTTAATGCTTTTGGCTCAATCGGCCTTCTGCCACATGCAACTTCAAGCAAGAATGCTCCAAAAGCGAAAACGTCAGTACTTGTTGTGGCTTTGCTCGTTTTGATGAGCTCTGGGGCAAGATAGCCAAGAGTTCCGACTAAATGTGTAGTTTTAGGGTCAGTTCCATGATCATACAATCTGGCTAAGCCAAAATCCCCTAATCTTGCATTCCATTCGCTATCTAGCAAGACGTTACTAGCTTTTATATCTCTGTGAACCACAACTTGCTCCCATTCCTCATGTAGATAGAACAGTGCTGATGCTACTCCTTTGATCACTTGAAATCTTTGGCTCCAATTGAGACAACATTCTGGTTTGTCGTCATACAAATACTTGTCAAGACTTCCCTTAGACATGTATTCGTAAACCAAGAGCAACTCTCCTTTACGCCTGCAATAACCTAGAAGTGGGACTAAATTCCTATGACAGAGCTGCCCCATACTAATTACTTCTGCCATGAATGCCTTCATTCCTTGTCTTGATTCATGGGAAACTTTCTTTACAGCAATCTCAGTTTTCTTGTTAGGCAACACTCCTCTATACACTCTGCCAAAGCCCCCAGTGCCTAAAAGCTTCTCTTCTCTGAATCCATTAGTGGCAGTGTACAAATCTTTGTACTTGAACCTCTGAGGTACATACTCAGCTTCCCAGTCTTCAAGCACTTCTGCAAACTTCCTTTTCACCATGATATAATAAGTTACACAAGAAACCATTGCTAGAACAGAAACTGTTAAAATCACAGGCAAACCAATTGTCAAAAGCTTAGACTTCTTCTTGGGGACTAGTCGAGGTAGCCTCGGAAGCAGAGAGATATCAAGCCCCTCGTCTGCCATGCCATGTATCTTGAAGCTCCACCCCAGAACATAGTGAATTGAGAATCCATACCCGGTGGCTGATGAAAATCCAAGATACATGGTTTGTTCTAGGATTGGAGTAAGATCATAGGACAAAGACAAAAGAGGAATTTTCGGTTTGGCTACATGTAAAGGTGCTAAACTGACATTGATTTGCTTCTTTGAACCACTATACTCTACCCAAGCTTGCATTGGCTGGCCACTGATAAGAGTCAAGTTTTGAGAGAAAGGTTTGTTGCCAACATAATAACCTGCTGGCATTGATATTTCAGACTTCATTCGGTTTATGTTTATCCCAACATGGTTATCATCAATATCATCAAACTCTTGATTGGATATGGTGTCAAACTCAACAGCAAAGAGATGGTTTGTGAGGTTACCATTATTGGTGGCACTAAGAAGGCCAAGGTATTGGCTCGCAACACCTCCTGGAAGGCCCCGCTTTGGTGCAATTGCAAAAGCCAATCCATGGCCACCAAAAGTAGGGTATTCAGGCGCTATAGCAAACACAAAGGTAGTGGAGAAGGAGATAGCTGAACCATCTGGTGAGTTCTTGAACCTAATTGGATTTGGGTGAAAGGCATGCCCTTTCTTTCTCGTGGTGGAATTTGTAAGCTTCAAAAGGCCGTTGGACGTTACCTCAGCTAAGCCATCTAGGCTCAGGTCTGCTGACCTGAAGCCATTGTAAGTGAACCCAGTATCTTCACACCCTGCATGCCAGCTTAAAGCATATACTACCATTATCACAAGCTTTACAGACATGGCTAAAACTCAACTTCCCTAGTTCAACTAGCGAGGTTCGTTTGTGTTGAAATTAATATTTCTTACATCAATTCATAATGTCCAAGGACGGATCCAGAAATTTTGTCTGGTGCTAAGATTTGAATCCATGACATTCATTATAACTAAACATATGTTTTGCCAATTAATTTAACTCAGTTCTTATTAACATTCATCTGTTTTTATACTAATACTAAAACTTATACTCTATATATATATATATATATATACAAAGATTATATATAGATAGGGGTAGGGGTGGGGTAGGGTGAGGGGAACAGCTGCACCCTACCTTTTGGAAGAATGTATTTAATTTTTATTATCATCTTAATTTTAATGGTTGGTTCAAACGCACCTATCTTTGACTGAAATATAAAAGAAAACAAACACGTTTTCCCCACAAATGCTTTGGGAGAAGAACAATTTCTATTCCATGTTGTCAGTGTCACTAATGTTTGTTTAGTGAGTTATTACTAAATGAAATGTAGCTACCTGATTTCAAAAAAAAAATAAAAATGTAGCTACCTGCCTTACTCAAAGTCTTGGTTTATTTTGAATTTCTTCGCAATACTATTCAACTCAATGTGTAAAGAATGCAGAGACCTGCCAGTTAATATATTTTTTATTAGGGGATTTTTGTATCCGTTCATAACTAAAGAGTCAATACTACCCCACTAGGAATTGAACCCATGTCCTCCTTTTTAGGGGAGTCACTTCGTGTCAACAGACCACAAGATCATTAGCAATTTAGTGATATATAAATGAACTATATTTATACATTATGTGGTTAATAAATGCCATGCAATTCAATAAGCGATTAAAATTAATGTGATAGACTATGGACTTGTAAAAGGTAGATGGGGTAGATGAGGTTAGCCTTTTTTTTTTCTTTATATTAATCTTCAGTTTTTTGGTTTTCTCTTGAAAAATCGAAATCGAACTGAAAACCGAAATATTCGAGCGATTCGATTTTCAATCGTCGGTTTTTCAGTTGGTCCGAATTTTCTGCTCATCCCTAGACTTGATTATACTTTGGGAGAAGCATTGATCATTCTAAATGGATGGAATAGATGATTCTACATATTCTTGGTTGTACGTGCTAGTTCAATAGCATATTTTCATAATATCTTACAATACATTAAGCTTGAGCATATTTTTTCTTGAGTATTACAGATACTGTTACACAATGAGTTAATATGTTCCAATTAGGGTTCAAACATATAACCTCCTGTTTGAAAGAGTCACTCTATATCCCATTAAACTTGAGCATAAAAATATATAGATAAGAAAAATAAAAAAATCACTTTGAACACAATAACATGAGTACTGAGTAGTACAGCGTGCTATTTGGGGTCATATATAATTGTGCTATTTGGGGTCATATATAATTATAAGTTCTATTATATGGACTTCTAAATCTTACTTCTTAAATTTTATTTTTTAATATGTGAGTACTGATAATCTACTCTTTTTTTTTTTTTTTATGTATGTCCTAATATAAATGTTTACATCAAGATTTTGTATGTGGTAGTAAAAATTAAGAGTAGAAAAGAGTTTTTTGCACTTTTAGCCCCACGACTATAGTGGCACTAGCAGAATTGATTCATGACTTTTGAACCTTGCAATTTTAGTCCACGACTAATGTTTTTTTTTTTGCAAAAATGGTCCTTCCGGCCACTTTTCCGTCAAAATTTCACCGGAGAAAAAATTCTTCATTTTTAACAGGGCTAAAATTGACATTTGACTTATCTAAAAAATTAAAAGAAAAAAATTGACATTTGACTACATACAATATTACTGGACTACATATTACTGCAACAGGCGGCGGACCGTGACGTTCCCCGGGCGGGTTATCCGGGCTCATCACTCAGAATGAGATTGAGAAACTCATCAGCAGGATGAGAGAAAATGGAGAAGCCACCGTGACGTTCCCCGAGCCGGGCTCTTCACTCAGAATGAGATGGAGAAACTCATCAGCAGGATGAGAGAAAATGGAGAAGCTCACAGCTTGCACGCTCAGTAATATTGTTAGTATGTAGTCAAATGTCAAATTTTTTTTTTAGATAAGTAAAATGTCAATTTTAGTCCGGTTAAAAATCGAGATTTTTTTTTTGGGTGAAATTTTGAAGGAAAAGTGACCGGAAGGACTATTTTTGTAAAAAAATCAATAATCGTGGATTAAAATTGTAAGGTTCAAAAGTCGTGGATCAATTCTGCTAGTGCCACTATAATCGTGGGACCAAAAGTGCAAAAAAACTCTAAATGATAGTAAGTATATTATTTTCTTATACTCCGTAATTATTATGGGGTCTCAATCCTGATAGCTAATCCGTCTGCAGAAAATCACGTGGATTTGTCGACGCTGTTGATTATCTTACCAGTTGTGGTAGGGTAACCAATACGAGTGGACAATTTGGTTTTTGGTTTGATTTTCTTTTTTTCTTTTTTGTTCTTGTTTTTGTTTTGTTTTTTTGTTTTTGTTTTTTTTTTTTTTTTTTTTTGGGTTCAGGTTGTAGACTTGTAATGATATAATCTTAAGTGGACCTGAACCGTTAAACAGACAGAGAAAGACTCGGACCACAATGTGTGGTTTACACACACAAAAAAAAAATGATATAATCTTACAAAAAGATTATTTCTAAAAAAATTACAAGCACAAGCAACAAAAAGATTTAGGGTTAGTACGAGTTGAACGAAACACTCATTTTTTAAAACTTTATTTGCATCCTCCAAAGGTGCTAGAAGCGTTGTAGCTTAGGTTTTCTAAGATAAAACGTACTACAATTAAAATATTTGAGTTCATAACTAATTGGATTTATTCTAATTTTAAAATTTTAAAATGAAATAAAAGCTGGGAGTGAGTGGAGTATTATTCAAACAAGATATTGTATTATAGATAAATGAAAACTATGAGGAAATAGATAGAGAGTGGAGTTACCAGGACTATGTGCCGAGTTCGAGCCTCATTGGAGGCGTTATTGGTTCTTTGTGTTTCAGTAGGTTTACAATGTAATAGAGTCAGTAGCTTTCAAAAAAAAAGATCCCCACTAAATTTCTATCATCGAATTGCCTCAATGGACTCAATTAGTAATTTGGGTATCCCCTTCTTTTGTAATAAAAAAAAAAATGTAAATTATTGTATGGATCATGGTCCATACAACTTAAATGAACCCTGAATATAGGGTATATTTTTTATATACTATAGGTACATTATTTGATAGTATATATAAAATAATGTACTTTTAATACTAAAATAATGTACCCTCGAATAATATACATTTAATATATTAAAAATGTATTTTTTATTTTATGGTCCACACAATTGTGTGGACCATGGTCCATGCAATAATGATTGGAGAATGGAGATTAAAATAGTGGATCGGCACTTTTGTGGCTCTGTTAGAAGAAAGCTCACAGAATCGAGGTTCAGTGGTGTGGTATTGACTCTTTAAACTATAATTGATAGAAAAAATATATTGAACATATGTAATAGAGTTAATAGTACTTTATTAAAAAAAAAAAAAAAAAAAAAAAAAAAATAGATTAGTTGGCAGAATATATATTGTCCCACCGTGTAACAAAATATTACTCCGTAAAAACCAAGGCTTTTAGACTTTTCCACAAGAAAAGGACAAATTATATTATGGACTTGGTCCATGTTACAAGAATTCTATGAATGGTGGGTATAAAGATTTTTTAAATTACAAGTGGGTATGAAAAGGAAAATATGTACTCTCAAATTTTACTTCAAACTTTTATTCTTTCTCATAAATTTTGAATGTAGACAATTTTTTCTGAACTCATAAAATGAAAATGTCCTATCTATGTCATCATGGAGTATAATTAATGGAGTAGAATTTGAGAATTCCTATAGTAGAACTTGTATGGAAATCTTTTAAATGATACAGTTGATTTAATGGACTCGTAGTGACAAGTGGAGAACCTGCAATAGTGAATTGATGACGACCATAGTGACTTTACTTTAGGGAATAATGCTTCTTGACATGATAAAAATTCACTTAGTTAAACTAGGGAAATTGTTGTGATCTTTAGCCATGTCTGTAAAGCTTCTGATATTGATAATGTATGCTTTAAGCAGGCAAGCAGGGTGTGAAGATAATGGATTCACTTACAATGGCTTCAGATCAGCAAACCTGAGCCTAGATGGCTTAGCCGAGGTAACGTCCAACGGCCTTTTGAGGCTAACAAATTCCACCACGAAACAGAAAGGTCATGCCTTTCACCCAAATCCAGTTAGATTCAAGAACTCACCAAATGCTTCAGCTCTCTCCTTCTCCACTACCTTTGTGTTTGCTATAGTGCCTGAATACCCTATTTCTGGTGGTCATGGATTGGCTTTTGCAATTGCACCAAACAGGGGCCTTCCAGGAGGCCTTCCTGCCCCATACCTTGGCCTTCTCAATCGCACCAATAATGGTAATCTCACAAACCATCTCTTTGCAGTTGAGTTTGATACTGTATCGAGTCGCGAGTTTGATGATATCAATGATAACCATGTTGGCATAAACGTAAATCGAATGAAGTCTGAAGCATCAAAACCAGCAGGTTATTATGTTGGCAGCAAACCTTTTCTTCAAAACTTGACTCTTATCAGTGGCCAGCCAATGCAAGCTTGGGTAGAGTATAGTGGTTCAAAGAAGCAAATTAATGTCAGTTTAGCACCTTTATATGTCGGGAAGCCTAAAATCCCTCTTTTATCTTTGTCCTATGATCTTACTCCAATCCTAGAACAAACCATGTATCTTGGGTTTTCATCAGCAACGGGGTCTATATTCTCGATTCACTATGTTCTGGGATGGAGCTTCAAGATTAATGGTATGGCCGCGGGGCTTGATATCTCTCTGCTTCCGAGGCTACCTCGAATAGTACCCAAGAAGAAGTCTAAGCTTTTGACAATTGGTTTGCCTGTGATTTTAACTGTCTGTGTTTTAGCAACGGTTTCTGGTGTAACTTATTATGTCGTGATAAAAAGGAAGTTTGCTGAAGTGCTTGAGGACTGGGAAGTTGAGTATGGACCTCAAAGGTTCAAGTACAAAGAGTTGTACACTGCCACTAAAGGATTTAGCGACAAGGAGCTTTTAGGCATTGGGGGCTTTGGAAGAGTGTATAGAGGAGTGTTGCCTAACAAGAAGACGACTGAAATTGCTGTAAAGAAAGTCTCTCATGAATCAAGACAAGGAATGAGGGCATTTGTTGCTGAAGTGGTTAGTATGGGGGGACTTTGTCATAGGAATTTAGTGCCACTTCTAGGTTATTGCAGGCGTAAAAGAGAGTTGATGTTGGTTTATGAATACATGCCTAATGGAAGTCTCGATAAGTATTTGTATGATGAACCAAAATGTACTCTCAATTGGAGCCAAAGATTTCAAGTAATCAAAGGAGTGGCATCAGCACTATTCTATCTGCATGAAGAGTGGGAGCATGTGGTCGTTCATAGAGATATAAAGGCCAGTAATGTGTTGCTAGATAGCGAATGGAATGGGAGATTAGGAGATTTTGGGCTAGCTAGATTATATGATCATGGAACTGATCCTCAAACTACACATGTAGTAGGAACTCTAGGCTATTTAGCCCCGGAGCACATAAGAACGGGCAAGGCCACAACAAGTGCAGACGTTTTTGCATTTGGAGCATTCTTGCTTGAAGTTGCATGTGGAAGAAGGCCGATGGAGCCAAAAGCGCCAAATGAGGATTTTGTTTTGATGGAATGGGTATTTTCTTGGTGGAGTAGAGGTGAAGTTTTGAAGGCTATTGATCCTAAACTAGGCCCGAATTACGTTACGGAAGAAGCAGAGTTGGTTTTAAAACTTGGACTATTGTGTTCTCTCTTGGAGCCAACAGCTAGGCCAAGCATGCGACAAATTGTTATGTATTTGGAAGGCTCTACACCACATCCACAACTATTATCACTTAGTCTTTCCACAGCTGGCCTAAAAGGCAGTTGGCGTTGAGGTTTTGAAGATTTGCTACTATATATACTAATATACGTCTCTTTCAGCCTTCGGAGTGAAGACAAGCTCACGCTGGAATGAATGATTGACTAGTGCATATGTAGCGTATTGGTTTTAATTTGAGCTTTGTAAATTGTGTAATATATTTTTATTATGTATCTATAATTTGACAATAAAAGAATCAATAATGGAGTGTTGTAATTTGGCCTTCTGTTAGTTCAATCTACCGGGATGGTTGTACGATAACGTGTCGATTATGTTATACATATGAACAAGATTGTAAAATGGAATGAAAGAGTAGAGAGAAAAGTAAGAACACAAGATGTAGAACTTAAGAACACAAGAACTCTCACTTCATTATGCCTTGAACATGTATATATAAACATCCATATAACCCTTCATTTTCTATAACATAAATAATGGAATAATATAAGGCAAATGAAAGGTCTTGTGATAATGGCTATAATAATAATAATAATAATAATAATAATAATAATAATAATAATAATAATAATAATAATATTTATAACACTCCTCTTGGCCATTATCAAACTATACTCATGCATCGTTAAAAACTTCGCTAGAAAAACCTAGACGAGAAAAAGAGTACACGAAATATGTCAAACCATGTGTTGCACCGGTTGCCTCATTAAAAACCTTAGCCTAAGAAAACTCAGTGAGAAAAAAAAATTAGTTAAGGAAAAGAGTACAAGGGTCTTCGGGACTATCCACTCAAGTGCGTCAACATCGGTTGCCTCATTAAAAACCTTAGCCTAATAAAACCATGTGGGAAAAAACTTAGCTAAGGGAAAAAGAGTACAACCATATGTTTTCAGAGCATAATCTTCAGGATTTCAAAAGCTTTCTAGATTGTACATTCTAGTGCAACTAGGGGTTGTCGCTCCCCCTGAAGACAACAATCTTCTATGCCTACGTATCCCAATTTTATGAACATATTTCACAAAAGTGGATGTAGACAGAGACTTAGTGAACATATCTGCAACATTGTTCACTGGGGTAAACTTTCTTAACAAGAATTTTACCACTCTTCTAGAGTTCATGTGTGTAGATAGACTTAGGTGCAATATGTTTTGTAAGGTTCCCATTAACAAATCTATTATTTGCCTGTGCAACACAATTTTTTTTTTTTTTGAAAACTGTGCAATACAATCTTATTTGTCCTCATATGGGACATTAGAGGTAAAAATATGACACTAACCAGTTTGGGACTTGGCATCATAGGGATCAAATAAAAGAGCCAATACCCAAGTAGCCCATCAAAACCACATATTGGTTCCTCACATAAACTTCAAAATCTTTGTACCTCGAAGGTGCTAGAAGATATGTTAAATACCATTCCAATTTTTATTATAGGGGAAATCACTAAATATTGCTATCAATTTCATCGCAAATTCAATATCAGGCCTGATGCAATTTTGGAACTTCTAGTTCAATAATAGTGTTCCAATAGCAATGAAGTAATAGACTTCCAGTCCCAAAATATCCTCATTATCATCTTCGAGACTAAATGGTCCTTTATCTACTTCAATAGATTATTGGACAACCGTTAGTGTGATAAGTAAATAATACTTATCCATATAAAACATCTTCAAGTCATTTTTAAAGTAGGCTAACTGGTGTATAAAACTTCTTCAAGGAGAAGCTCGATCTTCATGTCGAGACAATACTTGAATTTCCCAAGTCTTTTATTTCAAAACTCCGTCTTTCAGCATGAGCTAATATCATCAAGCTCTCTATGTGTTTCAATAACATTTAAAGCATCAATACCGACTGAGATAATAAATAAATAACTCCATTAACAATTCTTTAACGAACACATAATGGTACATATTTGCATATTCCTTCTTCAGGAGGAAAAATACACAGTCAATTCAATCATTCAATATGCATTCCTTCTTCAGGAGAAAAAACACTCAGTTAATAATATTCAAGTCATACAAAGACTTTTGTAATTTAATGATACACGTTGTGATTTTCACTTTTCCTCATTTCAAAACGTGTTGAATCCATCAGGGATTTACAAATAAATATTAGCGTGCAATGATCAATAAGTTGCAGTCATGACGTTCATCAATTGCATATCTAGATTTACAATTTACTGCCAATGATGTTAATTAGCGGAACGTAATGTCATATGTTGTGGGGGAGTACATTTGATTAAAGATCAATTCAGGATCTCTGTGTGAACCCTTAAGCTGTCAGTCTCGCTTTATATAATACCACCATATTGTTTGTATTTCTCTTTCGTACAAACACTCATTTGTAACCTACAGGGTTAACATTAAATGGTGTACGTGTTATAAAGAGAATACAATTTTAGCAAGCTGAACTGTACATGTCTTAATTTCTCTTTTATACATTAAAAAAAAAAAAAAAAAAAAAAAAAAAAAAAAAAAAAAAAAAAAAAAAAAAACAGGGCACTACTGGTGCCTAACTCTGGATCTAGATTTTCATATATTTAGAGCAATTTATAAGGCAATTGTGTTGTCGACAACTATAACATTTTTCATAAATTTCTCCCATAAAATAATAGCGATTCCTAATTCAACCAGACTCAAGCTATTTTCCAAAGATATTTTTATCTGGTCGTTCTGCATCCCAGTATTATGATTTTGGGTGCACCTATATATAATTTTACTGGGTTTTTCGCCTTCTGGATGAATGCCTTCAAGACATACTCTAAGTGATTTCAAGAGTGACAAAAATTTTCTACTAGATTTAGCTTTCCGCGGATTCTTGTCTTTTATACTGACATGTCTTCACACTTCTGGAGTCATGGAGCATTGGTAGATACATACGGTCCAAGTTGGGGAAGATATGTGGGACCTAGTCACTCTTTTTATCAGTATATATATTGACATATTAGCTATCTTCTGAACTTCTAGTTCAGTTTACATCTTCTGAACTTCTAGTTCAGTCTACCTAGTACGTGAATTTAAATATTGAATATTTTATATATTCATCAATCATCAATAGAATTTCTCGACATTCTATTAAATTTGAGCTTTAATCTCCCCCTAATGCCGTGAAATGATCTTCATAAAGTGTGCAGTTAGCCTACCTAATTATATATTGTAAAACGACTGCACACTGTGAACAAAACGGATATGGAAATGTTTGATTTTATACCACGTACTAGGTGTTATGGGGAATAATTATGTTATCCAGTAGGTCAGATTGTGATAACAACAATAGCATATAAAATTGATGTCCCAACAAGAAAATATATAATTTAATAATTTTCTTCTACAAAATATGCTTGATATAATAGGCATTTGAAGAAATCTGACTCACCAAAAAATATATATATATATATATATATATATATATATATATATATATATATATATATATATATATATATATATATATTATTCCAAGGCGACCCACTAGCTCATCTGATACTATAATTTCATTTGGGTCTTTAAAGTCTTTAAAAATGTATCGCAACATATGAAGTACCCAAAACATATATGCAATCATCTAAGAGTAACATATATAATCAGATATGAAATCATACATATCAAATGATATTATATAAGGGTACACAACAATCGTAGCGAAGCTGGGAAGCTTGTCAAAGAGATCTTCAAGATCTCCCAAAAATCCATATCCTCAACTTTCCATTAGTTTCACTCACTAGTTTGGGAATTGCTTCGTGCAAATTCACATGATATAATTCACTCTCTCATTTGCTTCGGACAAATTGATATGAAATAATTCATTCCCTCGTTTTCTTCGAGCAAACTGATATGATATCATTTGCTTCTATCTTTCAAACTAATAACATCTAAATCAATCATATCATGTATGGCATAAGTCAATGATCATTCTTATAAAGGGGTATAGTATTCCACTCCTTAAATAGCACAAAATTGCACTAAGTCATATTCGAAGAGGGATTTGACATTTTGGCATCTTAAATTTAGTCAAAAGAAGATTGTCATAATTTGTTGATAATAGCAATCCTTCCGGGATTGATATAGGATTTATGGAACAAATAATAATTTAACTTTGAATTAGAACCCAGTCAATTGCATACGAGAGTCATGATGACATGCATGAGAACAAATTTGAGTAAATAAGCATGCAAATTAAGAGAAGTAACTCTGAGAAGTAAACTTCCCGAATAGTAAATTTCGAATAGTTAATCCGAATAGTAAAATCAGCAAAGTAAAATCACTTTGTCCTCATAATAATTTGCATCCAAAAATAACTTTGCGCTAAAAAACACTTTTGGATTATATGTACTTCTCGGCCATGCAATAACTTTTCGAATATTGCGGTCATGAATTAACTTTTCAGATGCTTCAGGCATAAACTAACTTCTCGGATGCTTCAAGCATGCTTCAAACATGAGCTAACTTCTCGTGTGCTTCATGCTTCAGGCATGAGCTAACTTTTTTAGCCATGAATATATTTTCATGCATTGTTCAAAACATTATCATGACATCGATTGTTTATCAGTTCATATCATAATTTATCGCAATATTTGCTTTAGGCAAATTAGCTAGAATCATCAAGATGAGGTTCATTATTCTTCGACGACCAAATCCTTTGATGTGCGGCACGTAGGAGCCAATGCCCTTCACACCCACATTGATAACAAACATGCTTCTAGCTAGAATTTTGCATCGATGAGTTTGATCGTCCTTGATTATTTTGACCACTTTGCTTCTTATTTTGAGCTCGAAACTCATACCACCTCAGGTATAACCTCGAAAGCAACCCCTTATAAAGTTCCTTGACTATGCAACATTATGTGTTTTAGGCACCAGTACAGAACCAACTAGACTGTCTAGACATGCATTATAATTCTTCATCAACAAATGGTTGTGCTTCTTAGCCACAAGGAGTGCTAAAATCATCTTAGAATGCTTCTCATAATTTGTTGCCATGTACTGCTGTTGGGGTACAAGGTTACTCGCATGAAAAGTAAACAGAGTATTTTCAAATAAGTATTTCTCTGAGACTTCTTGTTTGCAGAGTTTTAATTGTGAGACTATTTTAAGCAGAGCTAAATTATAGTTAGTTACTGACTTTTAATATTAAAATTTGAGATTAAGCTAATCAAATTGTTCCTAAGGAAGGACAATAGATGACTACTGGTCGAAATGGTCCTTCAGGGACTTCCATAATGTAATGGAGACTTTTTCAATCAAATACTCATTTTTAAGATCGTGGTTCAAGTGGTGACGTATAAAAATGAGAGCTTGTGCCTTTTGGGCATCGGTGCTCTATGACTTAGCAACAAAAGCTTGGCTCAATTCTTTCGATGCCAAATATATTTCAAAAATATCTAGAACCCAAGTTAAATAATTGCTTCCTTCATAAGCGATCTCAATAAATTCGCATTTGGCATTGGAAGACATGATCTACAAGATCATCATTTCATGCAACTTTAAGAAGCAATGTGTGACAACATTGGAAAAAAAAAAAAACACTACTTTGAATACATGTTCAAACAATGGATGAAGAAACATCTTCACATAAATATGTTGTTAGGAATAAATTGTAATAGATTTTGATATGTCAAATTGTAATTTGTAGAACTCCCAATTTTATTTGGTTTAAGTTTAGTTGAGTCTTAGACTATGAACGGGAAATTATTAAAAAGAAAAAAAAAAAAACAGAAGAGGAAGATGTATGCATATGATATGTATATTATGAACTTTACCCGAAAGCCAAATATTCAAGAAGGCTTCCCTGGAGAAAATTCGAAGAAGAAGAAGAGACGTGATTTAAAGCTTGCATGAAATTGCCTTGGAGATCAATAATCTGTGGAAAGAAAGAAGTATATGAAAGAAGATTGGAGATGTTACCAAAGGACTTTATGGATGGAATGGAAGATTGTTGAAATGTTAAACTAAAGGTTATAGGTTCAAATTTCATCACCCACATATATAATTATTAAACTAGGTGAGTGCCAATATGAGTTGCAACAATGGGTTAGAATATTTTCTGACACAATGCTAGAAGATAAGAGATTTGAGACTATCTTTTTCTAACGGGTACATTCTCCAACAGAGCATACGAATAACAGAGTGCTATACACGAGATATTCAAAAGTGAAAAAAAAAAAAACACTAAGAGATATAGAGCTCACAAGAAAATATTCAAGAGTGTTAAAATCTTCATCAAATAATAACTCATTGTCATTGGTTATTAAATTTGCTATAGATGCATTTATACGACTGATTAATTTTGTACCCGTTTGCCAATACAACTTGATCAAACCGATCATGCCATTGTTTAAGGGTATACTTTAAATCTTTAAGCCATAAAGTGACTTAATTAATTTAAAAACTTTATGCTCTTGACCTTTAATCACGAAACCTTTTGGTTGCTTCATGTAAACCTTTTCCTCCAATTCACTATTTAAAAATGCAGTATTAACATCCATTTGGTTAATTACAAGATTGTGTATTGCAAAAATAGCAATTAACAATTTAATTGTAGCAATAGCATAAGTGTCAAAGAAATCAATTCCTTCTTTTTTGCTTAAAGACTTGTGCTACAAGTTTGGCTTTAAACTTGTCAATTGTACCATCAAGGTTTATTTTATTTTTAAACAACCATGTGACGGATTAATTAAAATTACATATTATTCCCCATTATTGAATATATCTCATCAGTAATTGCCTTCCATAACGCAACATTCTGAAACTTCATTACTTCTTCAAAAGTTAAATAAAATCATTTGATTCTATGACATAAAACCTGTAGGCTTTGCTATGTTCAACATATCCAATAAAAATGCAGTCAATACCACGTCTATGTGAACTAATTTAAGCAACATGGAATTCCTTATAACACTAGGAAAATGATTCCTAATAATTTTATTCAACATGCATGTCTTGCATTTTTGCACATTTAAATCAAAAGACGAAATTAAACCATCTTTAACCATATCATATAACCGTTTATAATTCACGTAACATAAACGATAATGCCATAAAGAAGATGAGCACGCCATATAAACGAAACAAACAAATTTATTTATATTTAATTTGAACATACTATTACACATTAAACCTTTGTCTAACAAATACAACAACTGGATAAAATAAATCTATCCGTTTCAAATACTAATTTGAAGCCAGTTCAACATATCCAGTGCCTTTGACTTTCACCATAGAATCATTTCTCATGTACAAGCTTGAACCATCTTTCAATTCTTTATAAAGATGCCACATCCTTGCAAACATTTCTTGTTGCCCCGGTGTCTAGCCACCATGAATCATCATTCTGCATTACAAAAAATTCAGAGATCATAGCAATGAAATTTTCCGTGAAACAAGATTAAGAATCTCACCTTGCTTCTCTTGACCACTCTCATGACCATGATCACCATTCCATTGGCTTTGAATTCGTGCCTTCTTTTCCTTCCTCTTTTCCTTCCAAATTTTGCAGTCCTTTTTTAAATGTGGACCGCTACATATCCAACAGAAATCTTTTGTGTTCTCCTTTGGCTTCTTTTTAAATTTAGAAGATTTGGTGACTTGACCTAACTTTCCTTTTCCTTTATTGTTTTCACTCGATTTGCCTTCATCAACAGAACCGGGAGCCACGGAGCCTTTGACACTTCCTGCACTTGCACTTTCACTTTCCTGCAATTTGATTCCTTCCTCAACTTGAACGTCGGTGCCCAACTGTTCCATGGTAAGTTCTTCCTTTTTATGCTTTAAGAAACATTCAACCTTCTTCCATGAAAGTGGCAACTTGTCAGTGATACAGGCAATGGCACTTAGGGATGAGCAAACAGTCATGAGTTACATAACTGACCAAAAAACCGATATGAAAATTTTGACCATCATAACTGATCGAAACCGACCCAAATATATATGCTATAATTGACTGAAAAACCTACCGTCAGTCGGTAATATCGGTTACAGAACAACTAAATGATTAACAAACACACTACACACTGCTAAATACCAAATTGCCAATTGCCAATTGCCAAAAGTGCCAAATTACCAATTTCAAACCCAAAGCTTCAGACATGATGACATTTACCAATAATAAGGAAGAAATAATTAATTTTTAAACAATTAATCAATTATAGTAGTTGAAGGGCTGAACACTTGAACACTTTTTTTCTCGAAAGCAACACTTGAACACTTAATTAAGCATACAATGAACAAACATACTGTAATGGCAGCATAAGAGATAACGAGAAGAGATTGCCGGCCCATTCATAGATGAAGATGAAGATACAAATACAAAGATGGTGAGGACTGAGGTCGGGAACAGCAAATGTAAAGAAACAACCTCATGTATTGTTGTTACCTTTAGGTTCTTCAGAAAACCAGAGGATGTGAGGACTGAGGTCGGTCCTCGCGGAGAGCGTCGGTGGAATCTGAGGAGTGACCGGAAGTGTCGCCACTGCAGAAGTTCCGGGCGTCGGGCGTCGTCTGTGGCTCTGTTGATTGGTCGAATGGAGAACCCAAGCTGCCGTCCGCCGAGAGAATGACTGAATTAGGGATTCCAAGGGAAATAGGGATTAGGATTTAGGGCTTCGGATATTTGGATGGTATTGTGGATTAGTATTTAGGGCTTTGGATATTTGGATGGTATGGGCTATTAAGCATTGGGCCATTGGTAGAATGAAGTCACTCTATTGGTCCATTGTATATGTATATATATATATATATATATATATATATATATATATACAATGGCCCAATGCCATTGTATATATATATACGGTGTTTGATAACCGATATATATATATATATATCGGTTATCAAACACCGTATATATATATACAATGGCATTGGGCCATTGTATATATATATATATATATATATATATATATATATATATATATATATATATATATATATATATATCGGTTATCAAACACCGAACTAGGGATAAAAACGGGGCGGGGCGGGACAATCCTCGTCCCCGAAATAGGTCCGGTCCCCATTCTCCAACCCCACCTCGTTCTCCGACAGGGATGGGGAATTATTTGTTATTCTCGTCCCCGCGGGGAGTTTTCGGGAACAGAGAATCTCCATCCCGTTTTTTGAATGATGTCAATGAGAAAAATACTATATTATGATATTATCAAAAATTTTAATTGTTAAGCCTTGAATCCTTAAACAAAGTCTAAAATACATAAATTAAAAAAAATTAAAATATCCAAACTAAAGTCCTACAAATATCCAAACTTCCAAACATAGATACACAATCATAAAATGTTCAAATATTACTAATTACTAATTTGCTTGTTCGCTAGATACATAATCAATGTTCAAAATACATTGATTAATATTAATATTATATTATGGTGAAACGCTAGTTCGCTACTGCTGGGGCGAATATGTTTTGATTAATATTACACACACACACATTTACATATATAATACGGGGAATCGGGGACGGGGATGGGGATCGGGGACGGGGTCAGGGTCGGGGCGGGGAATGCCCTCCCCGTCCCCGGCGGGGATGGGAAATTATCTCCATCCCCCCGCTCCCGTTCTCCGAAAAAATTCTCCAAACTCGCCCCCGTCTTGGCGGGAATCAGATTATCCCGTCGGGTGCGGGTCGAATTGATATACCTACATTGAACGAAATCGAAAACTAATAAATTGTCCACCAACAGACCTTTTAACATTTTCTTTGCTGTTTATATTGTTGAACTTCGATTGTGGCAGCAGATCATGTTATTGACCTCTATTAAATTTTCTTTTATAAAATGTCATCGGCGGGCTTTAAATAACATGTATCAGCAGACTTTAAATAACATGCATCAACAGACTTATATATTGTAAACTTTTATCTATGATGTCGAGTTAAATCTATTTTACAAAAGTTGGGTTATAGTGTGGTTATTGATACCTGTTGCGTAAGTAGAGTCTCAAATGTGGTTCTTTAAGTTAATTTCTCTTTAGTTCAACGTGTGTACTTTTGAGAAAATGATCTTAAATCATTATTTTGAAAAAAATCTCTTGTTTAAGTGTGAGTGGTGCTTGTAGAGTCTCACTCACTCTCTTATGTTGAAAAATGTTCTCGTTATTTGGTCAATATTGACTCAAAGTATTTTGAAAACACTTTTGAAAATGTTCTTTCTAAGTCCTTGTCTAAATGTTTCCTAAACTGGGGTCTATCCGAGTTTCAAAATCTATTTACAAAATATAAACTATGTTTAAAACTAAAAATGTACCTATTTTACAGGGCAGAGTAAATCTTACTTAGCATTTTTATGCTAACTTTATTGCTTTGTGTTTTCCAAATCTTGTTGCTTTCAGGATTGGAGTTTGAGGCTAGCGTGAGAGCACGTTGTAGAGGCGTAGTACCTCGTAGATGGTAATAGATCGATTATAAATATTTGATTGTATAGAAATGTTGTATAATGTGTGGTATTGTAGATTAGTTTTTGGACTTTATAATAATGTTGAAGTTAAATAGAACTCTCTAGTCTGAGCGTTTGGGCTTAGTTGGTAGCCCAAACGTGGCGGTAGCATTCCATGTGTTTCAAATGTTATTTTCGCTTCCGCATTTGAATTATCATCTTCAATAAATAAAATGCCTTTTTATTAAATATTCCAGTTTTAAAATTGAGGGTGTTGTAGAAGATCTTCTAACAAGGCATGTATTAAGCATTTCAAGAATACTAGGCTAAAGAAATGATGGAGCAAGTAATATGCGACGTGAGTTCAATGGTCTTAGAACTTTGATTATGAATGAGAATCCAAGTGCTCTTTATGTTCATTGTTTTGCTCATCAACTACAACTAGCACTTGTAGGTGTTGCAAAGAAAAATGATGATGTTAGAGATTTTTTTTTTTTTTTATCACTGTATCACAATTGTGCAATATTGTATGTGCTTCATGTAAGCGCAGAGATAGTTTACGAGACAAACAATTAAAGATGTTGATTGATTCAATTTCTACTGACACAATTGAAACAAGAAGCGGTAGTCTCCAACACCGTACGTTCAGAACTAACCCAAATATTATTAACATCTTAGGCATGAAACGTCATAAAAAAATTCTAACCTGATACTAGATGAAAACGTATATTTTATATATCATAAAACTGAACATAATACAATACTAGAGTCATAGGAGATGCTCTAATGCAAGAGAATAAGTAACAGTGCAATAGTTTGTTCAAAAATAAAGAAAGTAACATTGCAATAGAGGGAAATTTTATTTAAAGAAAAAAAAAAAAAGGTACATTGATAAAAGAAAGAAAGAGAAAAATAAAAAAGGGGAAATTGAATAAAAGAGCAAAAGTGAAAGGAGAAAAAGGAAAAGGAAGACGAGAGTAAAAACTCCGAAATCATAGTGAAGTGTGATGTAAGTTTGGTTTGCCTACCGTCGCCGGCAAAACGTCGAATGATTCTTTCACCACTACCGCCGCCACCACCACCACCTATGCCTATTCCTTGACAATCACCCACTCTTTTCTTTCTTCCTTCGCACCCATTCTTCTTCAGAGCTCAGATGATGGCGGGAAGAGACCCGGCGCCGCCGCAGCATCATCATGAAATACTAATCCGGGTCAACTCACGGCGGGGCGGCAACACAATCCACCCGCTGGAGCCGGAAGCGCCGCCTGTCCCCATCGATTACAGTGACAACAATATCAAGCATTTCAAGAAATGGTTCTCCTGGTTGGTTCCCTGTTTTGTTGTAGCCAACGTTGTCGTGTTCGTGATCACAATGTTCCTGAACAACTGCCCCAAGAACTCGGTCTCTTGCCTTGCTCGTTTCCTCGGGAGATTCTCCTTTCAGCCCTTCTCGGAAAATCCTCTCCTTGGACCTTCTTCCAATACGTAAGCGTCTCGCGTTCTCTGTATATTGTTCAAAGTACTAAACTTTTTCAGTTTTGATCTCAAATCTCGAAATTAATCGGAAGCATATGGAATGAAACAAATTGCCCAAGGTTTTACATAGCTGAATCCAACTGTATAGGGTGAGCTTGAATGGACTAAACTTATGGTGTTGATTGCAAAACTGAACTGACTAATATTTAGCCCTGCCTCTCTTTATCATCTCTTGGTTGATTAAAAAGGTATAATTATCTTTGCTGAACTGGTTTTTTTTTGGATGAAGAGGAAACCAAAACCCTTTCGAGTGTGAGTAAACCAGCCCTAGGTTATCCATAGACCAGCCTAGGTTATCCATAGCTAATCGGCTCAAATCAAGAGGGCAAAGATTCAAATTCATGACCTTATGGTTACAATTGTGGGTCTCTTGTCATCTTGGCTAGGATTACCCGTGGTGAACTGGATTTGTGGGTATGATAGATAGAGCATTTTATTGATTGGATTCATAATCCGAGTATGAGGTAGTGGCTAACTCACTTCTTTTATCTATGTCTTTGTGTATTGTTTAAAAAGGAATATAGCTATTGAACTAGAACACCATGCATTATTGTTTATTGCCGCCTCCCGTTGTAACTTCTTGGAACCGATTATTTCCTTCTCTAGCTATCTCTTGGACAAGTGATTTTGATATCAATGCTAAGTTCACACATTATATGCAGTTGAACACTAATGAATTCTTAAGAAGCTATAAGTATTTTTCTTTTTGTTTAGGCTAGAGAAGATGGGCGCTCTAGATGTGAGCAAGGTGGTTGAGGAACGTCAGGTGTGGCGCCTTATCACTTGCATTTGGTTGCACGGTGGAGTTTTCCACTTACTGGCCAACATGTTGAGTCTTTTCATTATTGGTATTCGGCTGGAGCAAGAATTTGGGTTTGGTATGTGAGAATACTACACTACAGGATCATGCTTGTATTTGGTCCTCATGCTCATTTCTTTCATGATTGCCTTAATTCACCATGCCAATTCTCTCTCCCGGTGTTGGGACTCAAACCCGTGACTTGGCTCTGATACCAGGTGTTAAGATCAAGCACTCACCATTACGTCAACAGCTATAGTTCGTAGCAAATGCACAACTTTATTTTCTTATAGACTGCCATCACATTTTCGAGAGGCAGGGTGCTAGACTTGACCTTTCACTGCCTCCGCCTAACAGTTCCCCTAGCCACCAATTGATGGACTTGGCTCTTTAGTGGCCTCCACCCAACACTTACATACAGTTGCAATATTTTGTAGTACGCATTGGAGTTCTTTACCTCATCTCTGGGCTTGGAGGAAGTTTGTTATCGGCTCTTTTTATCAAGTCGAGTATATCAGTTGGTGCATCTGGCGCCCTTTTTGGACTGCTGGGGGGCATGCTGTCCGAGCTGTTGATTAATTGGAGCATATATGTGAACAAGGTACTATTACTACCCAAGTAAGGAAGTTTGCTACTAATGTTTTCAGTGTTAAAAGCCTTAAGTTTGTATCGCTTTTCTTCCCTGCTTCTCCAGATTGCTGTTTTGGTGACCCTGGTGGTCATCATTGTTATCAATCTAGCAATGGGGCTTCTCCCGCATGTGGACAACTTTGCTCATATTGGAGGGTTTCTCTCCGGTTTTTTCCTCGGTTTTGTGTTTCTAATCCGCCCCCATTTTGGTTGGGTTAGCCAGAGATACGCCCCTACTGCATATTCATCATCAAGACCTATACCTAAATTCAAGGCATATCAATTGGTTCTCTGGGTTTCCTCCATTATCCTTCTCATTATAGGGTATGCCTCTCAACTCCACTTGTTTTCTAGGCCAACATCCAATCCAAGTTTGTGCTTTAATGAAGAAAGAGCCAAGCAAAATCATGATTCCATAGACAAAAAGTCTTCTATTGCCAATATTGAGGATTCTATATCTCATTTTCTGTTTGGGATTTCCATCTTATTGCTCTTTGATTATAGAATTTTGCATTGGTATTTATAGCTTCACGACTGGCCTTGTTATGCTTCTCCGTGGAGTAGACTTGAACGAGAAATGCTCTTGGTGCCATTACTTGAGTTGTGTTCCTACTCCAAGGTGGAGCTGCAATAGAGAGCCCGTTTCATGTCTGGTACGTACTCTTTTTTGTTCTTTGAAAATCGAACATGAACTTGAGCATGCAAATAAGGCTTCTAATGTAGAATGCGAAAGGTCCACATTGAAAATATATGAGAGAACATATGGGTTTATAAGGCTATGGGTTATTAAGGTAATACTCAGTCTAGTCGATGACTAAATTGGATATTAGCTCTTAATTGATTGGATTCATTTTTTTAGTATGGTTTGACCCATGTGCATTATAATCCAGTTGAGGTATATATTTGGTGTTATGAACATGAACACGACTGAGTTTATTGATGCAGTCGGAGCAAAACGGCGAGAAGCTTAGGTTATCATGCTCAAACAGCAGTAAAAGCAGAACATATGAGCTGCCAAATGCAAGTGCATCTCAGATTCAAGGGCTATGCAGTCAGCTGTGCAGGAGATGATTATAAATTTTATGGGTGAATGTCACAAATTGCTTCTTGTGTTAGATAGGCTTAGAGAGTAGAGGTTAGTATCATCCCAAAACTGTACCCTGCTTTTACATCTTCTCATCTGTAAATTCATTCATTGAGGAGGAGGATCGAAAAGAGGCAAACAATAACCTAAGAACTTATCGTGCATTGCTGAAGAAGTCCGCATGTTCTCACGTTAAGAGATGTTTTCACCTGAATATATATATATATATATATATATATATATATATATATATAGGGATGAGATCTAATGCGAAGAATCTCGCAGGTGCAAACATGCGGTGAGATTTGAATCGTTGATCAAATCTAGATCAATGGTTCAGATCAATGAAAAAAGAAAAAAAACGCGTCCCGGAAGGAAGAAGCAAGTATAAAATGGCGCACATTAAGTGTTACAAAGACGCACCTTAAGTGTTAAAATGACGCACCTTAAGTGTTATAAAGACGTACCTTAAGTGTTAAAATGACGCACCTTAAGTCTTAATATCGCGCATCTTCAATTTTTAAAATGGCGCACTTAAGTGTTATAAAGACACACTTTAAGTAGTAATATCATGTACCTTAAGTTTTAAAATAGAGCACCTTACACTTATGCACTTTAAGTGTATAACAGACGTACTTTAAATGTTAAAAGGACACACTTTAAACATTGAAACAACGCATCTTAAACTTTAAAATGATGCACTTTAAGTTTCAACAAATAACGTTTCTTAATTTTTCAAGTGTATAGCTGATGCACAATAAGTATTAAAATGATGCACCTTAAGTATTTAACACGATTCAACTTAAACACAAAATACGCACCTTAAGTTTGAACAATACGCAAAATGATCAAATTGTTATTACGTTTTTTTTTTTTTTTTTTTAAATTCGTGTTCACCCTGGATGTTGATTTTGACAAAATTAATGACTATCATCTCACGACATGTTTCACCTGAACACACAGACTATATATGATTTCCTCTTCCACTAAAAAGTCAACTAGCAGTGAGCAAACTCCCATTACAAAAACTCCACACCACTCCTATTATTGATACACTACTATATGCAATGAATGGATTACTCCACACCATTAACACTTTGCCCCTCATCTATATTATTACAGGCTCAAATCCATATCTCTTTTTCTTTCATTCCCACCATCCAATGGTCACAATGAGCATATATATCTAGCATATGACAATTTATTCCTAATGATGTCATTGCTACTCTTTATTCTCCCCTCCTCTCTATTTCACTAATTTGTTTCTTGGCCATTATTAAAGATCCCCACATTGACAAGCTACAATGATTGAAAAATTCCATGCTCCTTTAATTAATTAAACATTGTTTTTAGTTCCTTGTAGCTAGACTTCACATATATAAATGTAACACCAAGAGAGTAAATTATTTAAGGGAGAAACTAATTTACACACAATCCTATCCTAATTAGATTAGAGAACTAGAATCCTCTAAGACAATTGCTTCAAGTCATTTGGCAAGTGATACATTCTCTATACAAGGCAAAATACGAATATTAAATTAGAATTTTGTACTTTGATCACGCTTAATCTCACTTGACTACTATACCTTGATACAATCCTAATTATATTATAGAAAGAAGCTAATTAAGGTTAAGAGATAAAATTTTCTCTTTTTTCATTAATTTTTTTTATTAAGTTAGATATCAAATTTTACAAGTGTTAAGGATTCAACTACCTAATCCTTATATGGCAATTAGCATCTCTCCTAAATAAATTTAGTCACCTATTCTAATTATATAATCACATGAATTTGATAAGACAATGGACTAGCAATATCATATCATCTCTTAGCTTTAAACTCCACTCACATCATCTCTCTCCATAGTCAATACAATATATACAAACTTGATCTATAACTTGTAAACTTTATATCACTATGTACATGTACAACCAACAAAACAAAGTGAAATTTGACACATAGACAATAGAATAACACCATCATTGATAAAACAGTTAACCTAATAATACCACTACTCTCTAGTCTAATTTTCTCTCTAGATTTTTTTGAGTGCACCCAGGATTTTCACCGTCGAACACAGTGATTAAACCCCTCGCTGAATTGTAGGTACCTCTTTGGGTGAGACAGCTGACCTAAAGATTTAAGGCTGCTCCATAACCAAAACGAATGATTAAACCCTTGATTTTTGGTACAGTTAAGGATGAATGAAAATTATCTCTCTAGATGTTGATTCATGTATTCGTTAGATGTTGAATGTTTTTCCTTATGAGTTTCTTATTAGTTATTGAAAAGATTTTTATGAATTTACACATAGATCTTAACATTCCCACCCATATTTGCAAGTTACACAATGCTCTTTATAGCCTTAAGTAGGCAACAGAAGCTTGATTTGCCACATTCGATCAGCTTCTTTTCAAATGGGCTCAAAAAGTTTGGACTCGTGTATACTCAGACAAGCTAAGATTTTTTTCTATATATATATAGATCTCAATTCAAATGCGGTTGTGTCTTAACATACGGTCAGTGCGGTCGCATCATTAGTTATATAAAAACGCACCATTATTGTTAGAAAAACGCACAATAATGAAATGCACTAATACACCACAAAACGCACTACACACCCAAAAAATGCACTATACCTCCACACACCTAATTGTGCATTTTCATACACTGCGTGGTGCGTTTATGCATATCTAATGGTGTGTTTTGTGGTGATGCGTACCTAATGGTGCTTTTTTGGTGCATTAATACAGTTTTTTTGTTGTGCATTTCCTAACACTTTTGGTGCGTATTTGCATAACTAATTGTGCGTCCGCACTGACCGCACGTTAAGGTTTGACCCACTGAAACTTGGCCATATATATATATATATATATAAAATTAAGTTTCTGTGCGGTTGTGCGGTGATTAATGTGCGTGAGTTTTGTACTTAAGGTGTGTGAGTTTTGCGCTTAAGGTGTATTGGTGTGTACTTAATGTGAGTAGTGCAGTGTTGAAACTTAAGGTGCATGAGTTTTGTGCGTAAGGTGCGTGAATTTTGTGCGGTGCATGAGTTTTGTGTTTAATGTGCCTGAGATTTGTGTTCTTAATGTGAGTAGTTGTTGAAACTTAAGGTGCATGAGTTTTGTGCTTAAGGTGCGTGAGTTTTGTGCTTAATGTGCGTGAGATTAGTGTTCTTAAGGTGTTTTGTTTGTGCGTTTAATGTGCGTGTGTTGTATACTTAAAGTGCGTCAGTTTAATGCTTAATGTGCATCCAACCGCACAACCGCACGGGAAGTCATTCCCGCAACTGATCCCTATATATATATATATATATATATATATAGGAGGGTTCCAATGAGAACACTTGCTTAGGTGAGAACGTGAGAACAAATCGTGTGCATCAATCTAATATTATTTAATGGTCTAGATCAATCGTGTTCGCACACATTTAATTGCATTCACACACACTTAATCTACATCAATCTAAACCATTAAATTTATTAGATTGATACACAAGATTTGGTCACAATGTCACCTAGGCCAATCTAGATCAATCGCATTTGCACACATTTAATCGTGTTTGTACACATTTAATCCGCGTTCGCACACACTTAATCTAGACCATTAAAATTAAGAGAAAATGACGAGTTTGGTCTCTGAGTTATAATGGTAGTGACGACTCAGTCCCTGAGTTATGACAGTATCCATTTTTAGTCCCTCAGTTATGAGCGAAGTAGCGCATTTGGTCCCTGACCGTTAAAACTGACGGAAAAATTAAAAAATATTTAAAATTTTAGGAGTAAAGTAGGAAATTCAAATTTTATTCACTTTCTTATATTGAAACCACTTTTGCAACTTGAGTCTCGTATAAGGAACCTGTGACTCAGTACAAACTAGAGAACACTTGATCATTGTCTTCAAGCATGTGAAACACACCGTCTTAAAAGTTTTTGATTTCTCTTACTAAACATAATGGTAATCGAACCATAACTTTTGAAATACAAGAAGATATCAAATTTCTCAGTTATTTTTATGACAAATTCACCAAGGGAGTAACTTCATATTTTAAGTACGTAAAATTCTTTCGTAAGCTCTGCAGTAACTTAATCAAGAATCGTATATCCTGACAATATATGAAAATTATATTATATATATACCTATCACCACCCCTGTCTTCTTAAAAACCAGAGTAATGAATGAGGAACCTAAGACTCAATTATGAAACTTCTAAAAACGATTATCGATTGTTGCATATGAAAAAATTTTACATACTAAAAATCTCAAGTTACTCCATTGGTGAATTTCTCATAAAAGCAACCTGAAAAATTTGACATCATTTTGTATCGCAAAAGTTCTGGTTTGATTACCTTTGTTGCTTAGTAAAGAAAATTGAAAATTGATAGGATAGGGTGTTTCACACGTCTGGAGACAATGATCAAGTGTTTCTTTGTTTGTGCTAAGTCTTAAGTTTGTTATACGAGAGCCAGGTTCCTAACAAGTCATACTAAAGTTATTGAAATGCTTTTAGAATTGAACAATCTTGAAATAAGAGGCTAAGAAGTGAAAAATAATGTTGTGAAAGTGATCTTGACATAAGAAGGAGAATAAAATGTGAATTTTCTTACTTTACCCCTCAAATTTTAAATATTTTTTTAATTTTTTGGCCAATTTTAATGGCCGGGGACCAAATGCGCCACTTCGTTCATAATTGAATGACTAAAAATAGATACGGTCATAACTCAGGGACTGAGTCAGAAATTGGATATAACTCAGGGACTAAAGATGCAATTTTTCCTAAAATTAATTAGATTGATGCACAAGATTTGTTCTCACGTTCTCACCTACGCAAGTGTTCTCATATCATCCTAAATACATACATACATACATATATATATATATATATATATATATATATATATATATATATATATATCATGTTATCATATAAATCCTCCCTAAACCAAATTAAGTGTAGATTAAAATTATGTTGAATAAAATAATATTTCCACTGCGAGAGGTTAAACAAAAGCATTAAATAAAACTACAATTTAGTTATAATTTGATTTGATCACCGACGTACTTAGATTAATCTTAACATTAATTACAAGTAGTGGCTAAGAAAGTGGGGTGGTACGGTTCTACGGAACAAATGGAATCTGAGTCTCAGAAGTA